ACTAAGTCTCATTGCAGCTGCAGGAAGTTAAATCAGATCTGAATATAACTCCCCATGTCTGAAAAGATCTGAAGTAATAATGTGAGCCACAACAAACACTTGAAAACTATAGAAGAAGCTCTGCAAAACACTTTGGGGCTTGTAATACAGGATACACTGAAAACTCACCCAGTGCTACCAAGGACATAATGTGAAGAATTATCAAATAGTAATGAGTCATGAGTCTCCACAGTAGAAACGGCCTCACCATAGCACAATTCAACCTAGAATCTTACTCTGGATTAATTTTGTATTATGTTAAAAAAATACTGAGTATGTCACAGAGTCAGTCACATTGAAAATGTGTATGTGTGCAGATATGTGTATATGAGTTTGCACAATCAGGCCTTCCATTCACAGATCATAGAATCGTAGAATCATAGAATCATAGAATGTGTTGTGTTGGAAAGGACCTTTAAAGGCCATCTAGCACAACACTCCTGCAGTGAGCAGGGACATCTTTACACCAGGTTGCTCAGAGCCCCATCAAGCCTGACTTCGAATGCCTCCAGGGATGGAGCCTCTAACATCTCTCTGGGCAACCTGTTCCAGTGTTTTACCACGCTAATTGTGAAGATCTTTTTTCTAACATCTAAACTGAATCTACCCTTCTCTAGTTTAAAATCGTTGCCTCTCATCCTGTCAATACATGCCCTGTCACTACAAGGCCCAGCTTCCCTGTAGGCCCCCTTCAGGTACTGGAAGGCTGCTATAAGGTCTTCCCAGAGCCTTCTCTTCTCCAGGCTGAACAGCCCCAACTCTCTCAGCCTGTCCCTGTATGAGAGGTGCTCTAGCCCTTTGATTATTTTTGTGGACCTCCTCTGGACCCGCTCCAACAGGTCCATGTCCTTCTTGTGCTGGGGGCTCCAGAGCTGGACGCAGCACTGCAGGTGAGGTTTCACCAGAGCAGAGGAGAGGGGCAGAATCAACTCTCTGAACCCGCTGGCCACACTTCTTTTGATGTAGCCCAGGATGTGATTGGCCTTCTGGCTGCAAGTGCACATTGTTGGCTCATGTCCAGCTTTTAATCCACCTGCACCCCCAAGTCCTGTTCTCCAGAGCACTCTAGATAGGCATTTTCCTTTTCATTATAGAGTTAACACTGCTATGGCTCGGAAAAACAAGAATTGTAAATGTGACTGCTATAATCAGGGGGTTTTTTTGTTTAGGTTTTGCTTAGTTTTTTTCTCTGGAAAGAGGACTACCCTAATTATTGGAATTATGGACACTGAAACAAATTGCTGCATTGTACACATATGAAATAAATACTTTTTAAAAGCTTAAAAACAACAGAAGATATAAACAGTGTGAAACTAATGACTAAAGTTTCTGAGCTCTCTGAAAAAAGTTGCTGGCATGCTTCTAGGTGGTCTGCATAAGACTCCCACACTCCAATCTTTCCAGACATGCTTTTGTGCTTGATTAATTAGAGAAACTAGGGAGAGGTGATACTTTTGCAGTGACTGATGTTTTCTTATAATTAAATCGATCTGGTATATATCTCCCATAACGTATTAGGTCATGAAATGTTTATAAAATGCCAACCCAAGTGTCAACTGGAAAATTACAAATTTAGTATTTAGATGGATGTCTTTGGTAAAAAATAAAAACAGTGAGCTCTTTAATTTCATAGAAACATAGTATCATAAATTCACTCTAACATCATATATTAAAATAATGCTATGCAAATAGGCATGACAGTTAAATAAGGGTTTAGAATAAGACTGTTTAAACGAATAAGTAATATTTTAAAGTGTCTGTCAACACACTATGAAAAAAGAAAGCTCAATTTAATTAAGTTGGTCATTTGTGGCTTAGGTAGGAAAAGGATTAGTATGTAGAGTAAGTCAAGGCTGCCCAAAGCTTTGTGTGGGTGTTACACAGCTATTCACTTTCATCTCAATTAAAGAATTAGCGTAACAAATGCTGGCTTACATGATTCTTTGCTTCTTAGGGTACAAGAGAGCTTCTCAAGAAACTTCCTGTGTTGCCACGTGGAGGTCAGGCACAGTTTATAAAGAATTGGAAAGAAAAGATCTTAAAAAAATGGCTTTGCTGACAAATCAGTAGTATGGTGGTACAGTCAAGCTTTTTTACCGTTTGCTTATGACAATTTTGTTTTGAGTAATTTCTCTACAAACTGAACATAATTGTAGTACGAGTAGAGAAGATGTCTCTCAGCAATCGCTGGCGTACTCCTATGGGAATGGAGGGGAAAGATAGAAGGTTTGGGATAAAATACTAACTATTTTTTAATGTGTACAGAAGTCAAGAAATTGACAGTAACATTTTCAGCCAGACATAATTTGCCTACTGTAGACTACAATGCATTGAAGAAAGCAAAGCAGATGTAATGCACTTGCTGAGAGGACCACACTTTTGCCTAGCATTAATGCAGAGGAGTCTCTGCACAGTACAGAAGAGTAAATGAGGATTAGTACATATTTCAGGCTTCCCCAGAATAAATTATTTTCAGTTTCCATGTAAAATAGTGAAGAAAGTGAGAAGAAAAGAGGTCACAAGGGCCAGGCACATGCCAAATCTGCACCTAAACGGAGGCAGGTGGTATAAGACAAACTGACTGTTGCGTAGCACCTTCACGGCAATAAGTGCACCCATATTGCAAATATTGCACTTTGGAGGTCCTGAGGACCATCAGTCCTAACTGCTGAAACAGCACACTCACTGTTCTTAAATATCGTGCTCTGCTCAAATTTGAGAGAGAAAGAATAATAACAGATCGACTCTGTTTTGGGGAGAAAGTAATGTGAACCTTAAGCACAAATTATTTTCACAGACAAGCATTATTTAAAAACTAATCCAGACAAAAATTATTATTTGATACTCTTTAAGAAATATTTCCCTCTTCTCCAACTTTATTTTCATATCTACTGTAAAGCATGCTAAGAGACAAAAAGCAGCTGCATTCTGCTCATTTGATGGAAATTATCAGCTTGTGTATAATTATTGTGTTACTGTCCATGAATCTGCCAAAAGTCTGTAGTCCCACATACATTCCAGGCAATTAGATACAATAAGTGTATTTAGAAATATGGCATACTGGAGCTTTTCATAATAAAGGTTTTTTCACGGAGTTATGAGGAATTCTTGGAGACAATAAAGAGATTTTTTAAAAAGTCTTCAAAATTAAGAACGTTATTTAGCAGATACTGTAAAAATCAAAAAGTTTGGAAATAATATATAATACACGAAACACAGCGATTTCAAACCAAACTGCACAGGTATGAAAGTCATCATTTCCAAAAGTGAGCATGCCAAAGCAAGACACTGAATCTAGCAAAAGACACACGTTGGGTGTTTCCAATGCAATCCACAATGTTCAGACCTCTCTCGTGATGACAGCAGTGTCTTTCAGCTTGTATTCAAGTTGAATATAATGTCGTTCGTGTTCTTACCCAACCTGATTACACTATTGGACATGTACATTAATGACACCTTCTTTTGTATCTTGATTTATATGTGATTCAAGCCTATATTAATTATCAATATATAAATGCAACTTTGGGGAGAAAAATCCCCTTAGATATATTCATCTGGAACACCACAAAATGCAACACTTCTGAGACATGGAAATAAATCAGAGCTAGTCAGACAATTCAGGAATAGCAGGCAGAGCTTGAGAGGGTTTGTTGTTGTAGCTTTTTGAATTACATGTGTATAAGTACTGCCATGCTTTTTTCAATGAGAATAGAGGATCTCGGTTAATAAAGGGTCTCATGATGCTATTATGTGTAAAGACACTAAAGGACTGGGCTACTAGAACATGAAACTGAAATTAAACACTTTAAAACACAGAGAAAGACATTTTAAAATTTAAACATGTGCCAAATATGGAAGCCTCTCCCCAATCTATAGCATAGTAAAGCTCAGTCTCCTGCAAAACCTAAGCCTCTAGCATAACAAAACTGGTTGACAAACACTGTCACTGTTATATATCGTAAAAGAAGGAGGACTCATTCCCCAGTAGTACAATCAAAGAAATTCAACAGCCCTTGGACAAAACAACTCACCTAAACTTTACACTACTGCACATTCATGTCAAACAACACTCTCCCATTTTAGAATGCAAACCAGCCTTGACAGACCTCCTGCTAACTTTCTGTCCCAGCACAATAACTTTCCCTTGTCTTTACATGTGGCAGCTGAGCTGAAGAGATGAATATTCTCAATGGCACAGCCACTTAATCCCTCCTTGTCTTATTCTACAACGGTCACAATCAGCATCTTTCTGTGGCCTTACCAACTGCTCCAAGCTTTGTATAAGCATCTGTAATTCCAACTCTATCACACATCCAGTTGTATACATTGTTCATACTAACGTATACAAATATCTGAGGAGCAGGTGTCAAGGGGAAGGGGACAATCTCTTCTCAGTGGTGCCCAGCAATAGAACAAGAAATAACTGGTTTAGGTTAGAACATAGGAAGTTCCACCTCAGCATGAGGAGAAACTTCTTTGCTGTGTGTGTGACAGAGCCTTGGAACAGGCTGCCCAGAGAGGTTGTGGAGTCTCCTTCTCTGGAGACTGTCAAGACCCACCTGGACGCGTTCCTGTGGGGCTGCCCTCGGGGATCCTGCTCTGGCAGGGGGGTTGGACTAGATGATCTCTAGAGGTCCCTTCCAACCCCTGACATTCTGTGATTTTGTGATTCTGTGATATTACCAAGCGAATTATTAGTCCTTAAAATAAGAAACTAAGAATGTATTTACAGGACTGGAGCTCTAGTCTGCAAAGTGTTTCTTGTGTGTGCTGCAAATAATGGAGATAAGTGAGTGAAATTTTCACAAACCTTTGAATTATTATTCTCAGTTATAAACAGAGGGGGAAAAAAAGTAAGTAGAAGTACATACATATATAGCCACATGTATGCAAATAGATAAAACTAATATATAATTTCCATATACTCCAAAACCTTGAAACAAGCAAATAAACAGGCTTACCCTTGACAATGTCAGTGTTCCTTGTTTACATACACTGCAGCGGACCCTCAGTTTCCCAGGCTTCACAGCTTGGCAGAAAGTTTTGCAAAAAACGTAAAAACTGTTGTAAGTAGCTGCACCTGTCAGGAAGGAAAAAAAACAAACGCAAAAAACAACAAATGAAATATCTGATGTATACTAAAAATCAATAACAATCTGTCACTTTCTATTTGACTCTGCAAGTGATAAGGAAAATGAACACGTTGACTGATTTTAAGGCCTGAAGACAGTGCTGTGATCACCCGATCTCGCCTGGTCTAGCTCTTTACACTTTTCAGTAACTCCCACTAGCTATAGGTGAACTACACCGTAAGTCTGAGACAACACATCCTGTCTTGATTTTGAGTTTACCACTGAGGAGCACCAACTGTAATCTCTGGCAAGTGATGTATGAAATTAATTACCCCGGCTCTCGGTAATTTGCATCTTGCTTCCAGTTCAAATTTATCTATCTGCAAGTTTTAGTGAGTTTGGATTGCATGGAAATTTCTTTGGATGAAGTTTACAAGATCAGTTAGTCTGATATCAGAGCACAAAAACAAATATTTAATTGAGCAAATTTAGTTTTATTCATGGAAGACTAGGAACTATTTATTTATTCTTTCTGGCAGCGGTATAGCCTAGCAAAGCTTGTAAACTCCCGCCAAGATATTAGGCCGAGTAAATTTTCAAGGAAAATGAAATGAAACACATTCTGTTCCATGAAACTATGGAATAGAAGATGATATGCAGAGACTTGTGTAAACCTGGGGCAATGCTAATGATTTTGATTTCACATGAAATCCTGATCACTCTTTTGAGTGGCTCTTGCTATTCTTTAGAAAATGATGGAAGACTCAGGGCAGAGTTTCAATCTAGACCAGATATCTCCAAATTCAGAGACTCAAGCTTATTATCAGAAGTTGAACTGAGATCAGAATAAAGTTTTTAACAGATTTTTCCCAATATCAAGAGGAACAGCTGTGGAGATTTGACCCATTAACAGCGGTGAACTTCAGAATCAATAGCGATCTCTTAGAGATCAAGTTTTTCACTTCTTCCCCATTCTCCTATTTCTCTCTACATTGATCAGCAATATATTTTTAACATATATTTGAATCCTAACACATTGCCACAGTAAATATTATCTGGAATAATACTTTAAATGGGACGGTCTTATTTTATTTTTCCCTGTCTTCGAATGATAACGGTCAGATATTGTGTTCTGCCAATGAAAATGCCTATCAATTTCATGTTATACCTATTTATAGGTGTCCTAATATAAATGTGCAACTAGTTTCCAAAATTATGTCATCCAAAAAAAAATGTTTTCTATGAAAACGTATGTAGATGTCTTCAAAGAAGACACTGCTGAAAGAATAAATTTATAACCTTTTTCAAGTTTTCGGAAATGTAAGCTACACAGTACATCAGTGATGTATCCAACATTAATTTTAGTCAACTGATCTATCTAGTGTTTTCATCAAACTTCCCTGAGGAATATTAATCACCATAGCAGAACATAAAGCATAGCAGATTTTAAATTTAATTAGTTTCTGTGGAAAATTAACACATATCCATACATTCTATGATTCACACACACACAAACTCTTCATAGGAATACGTGCAACTCAAGGTTGAAAGTACGCTTCTAAATCAGTCTAAAACACAGTCCTGAGATCAAAACAGCTCAACTAAAGGAAAAAAAGGTTTATTCTGAACTATTTAATATAGAGTACAATGTCGAGAGATGAATCCAAACAAAATATTACAAAATTTTGGACATTTGGATCTCTACTCACTTGTAGTTTGCCTGAGGCTCCTAACACTAGGACTGAGAGCATGTCTGGATTAGGCTCAATTTGAGCTGGAATCCACAACAAAAATCTAAATTATGGCATTGCAGATATGAAGGAGCACACTTGCAAATGACTGAATTTTACTTTTGGCAGTTCCTCAGATCTCTGCAGGATCAGCAGGTCAATCAGTAAAACAAAAGGGCAGTACCTTTAGTACAATTCAAAATACTACATGACTTAAGTAAGAGTGTTACTGCCAATAGAAGCCCAAAATAAACAAGATGACTCAGGCCACTTATTCCTGACATGGTCTCAAGTGCAGGAAGACCAGAGCCCTTTACTTATTTTGGTATCACCAGTCCTCTCTCATTGCTCTGATTTCATACATGGGCAGCCTAATGAGACTAATGAGACTGCTGCTTCTATTCACATGCAGGAGCACTTATCCCGAGTAGATCTGTGATGCCACTGCTCACTGTCCTAATTCGGTGTTACTCTCCAGAAGGATTCCTGCCGTGACTCTAATGAAACTTATCCAGTCAAACAGAACCACCTTACCGAGTGCATGAACCCTTAGGGAATAAAATATTTTGTTAATTGGGCTGATGCCTTTCCTTATGCAGTCCTCCACTCCAAGAAGTCCCTGTCTCACATTTTACACCATGTTTATTTCAAGCAATAAACTACTTTAGGTGGGAATCATACTTTCTGCCTGCTTTTGTGTTTTAAGCTCACTCCATCTGGACCCAAAGACAAAAATATATTATTGATAATACTCTGCAAAATAGTCACAGAATAGTATGGCATAAATCAGCATGACTGAACACTGCAGTAAAAAATGTCAGTCATGGGAGAGGCCTAAAAATGAGACATATCGCTGATTTACTACAGAATATAAATCTTATGCATTAGCTTGGTATTTACTCAATGCAAAAATAGACTCTGTAGGCTCAATACTACTTTTTTTAGCACTTTCCCTTTTTTCCTTTTTCATAAATATAAAAAGAACTCCCAAATACATCCCTATGCACAAATTTGAAACACAAGAAACAAATCTTTAATAATATAATGAGTTGGAGCAGTTAGGTAGCACAGATCTGTTCAGAGACCCAGAATAACTTTTGCAGTGTCTGCTATAGCAAGGCTGCTGGAGAGGTACAACATGACAACAGGAATGTTCTGAATTTAGGAGGAAAGTGTAAATGAAGATTTCAGCAATCCATTCACCATTTTATGCAGATGTGCTGATCTCATTCTTACAAAGTGCATTCTTACAAAGTTACATCATCAGGTCTATGTCCTAAGCAGCATCATGGGGTAGAGCAAAGACTAAATTTAAAATGCGAATGCTAAAAAGTCAGCATTCAGTACAAAACTGATGGCCAGCATTAAATGCTTTACTGATGTCACTGTGTATTTTAGTGTGGCCCTTGGCTGAGGCTGCATCCCCTTGAATCCCTTTTCAGAGTGGAACTGAAAGAAACAGGAATAAAAAATTCTGCTTTATGCACCAGCTCTGACATAGAAGCATTAACAAGAAATGTAATTATGGCACCATGCCAATAATCACTAAAACTGCCACAGAATCAACCTTAGAACTATGCCTTTCCTCATTCAATCATGGTCTATAAGCTTTCATAAAGCTTTCCATTGATATTTTATAATACTGGCACCCAGCAAGAATGTGCAGACACAGCAAATCACAAGTTTTAAAAAAAAATAAGTCCCTTTATAAATGCTGATTCTGATACTGAATGTGAGCATTAACAGCATAAATAAATGAATCACATTATAACTACCAGTCTTTGCAGTTACATACATTGGTAGGCAGAGGAAGACTGAGGAAAAAACAAATGTGCTGTATCTGCACGTTTTCAGAGAAAGTAAAGTCAAAGCAGTGTCAATTTTCAGATCCATATTCCAAATATTTATTTGTGTGCCAAGGGTCCCATAATAGTCTTTTTTGACCATCAATGATTCATTCAGTGTTTTGGACATGCTTTTCTAGCTTTCCCACACCAGCTGGTACATCAGTATGTCTTTTGAGAAGCTGTTTACTTTGAGTCTTTTATCCTTAAAGATAGCACAAAAAAGATCTGTCATTCTGATGACAAATATCTTCCTTTAATTTACTATGAACTGAAAAAGATGCCACCAGAAAGCTGACCTTATAAACCTAACTTTCTCATAGGTCCAACAGCATTTTTCAGTACATAATCAGAGGCTAACTTTTTAAGAAGCCACCTCCAGTATGTTAAGCTTCAGCCAAATCTGACTTGGAAACACAGAAAAAAATGTCATTTTATTCAAGTGAGGAGTTAGCAGTCAAATGAATCACTTCCATTTGCACTGGTGAATTTCTCTCATAACTTTTTTCAACATAGCAAAACTCATTTAATGCACAACTGCCCAGCTATAATGATCTAACTTAACTGCCCTTTACATTTGGTGAGAACACTTACAAGACTGAATCTTCCAGTGAAAGTAAGGGAATGTTTCCTGCCTAGCATCCCAAGAAATGCATTTCCCATTTGCAGTCATATAAAATTCACAAACTCCCTCCTCAGGTCATCTATTCCAGTACTTTAATATCTTGAAGAAGATATTCCTTATTTTTAGCTTTAATTTTCTGTGCTGAAACTTTACAATTACATCTTCTACTTTCCACCAAAGATATAGGAACAAATTTATTTTCTTTCTCTTCACAGCAGCTTTTTATATTGTTTTTTTTCTATTTCATATGCTATTCAACCCCAATATGGTCATTTCTTCCTTATACTTAATAGTCTCTAGAGCTCAAAATATTTTTCTTTGGTTTTTCTTTAAACAGTGTGAGGTGCAGCTCCCTAAATGTACAACATCTTGAAGGTTCTACTTCTGTTTATCTGTTCCCATATAATACTCTACTTAAGACTATGGACATAACCTAATTTGTTCAGTCTATGATCTAAAATGAACCTTCAAACCCTAGTCTACTTCATCTGTTGTGACCCATTCTGTATTTGTGTTGCTGAATATTGCCAGCCAAGTGGAGTATTCTGTGCTGGCCCTTTCTGAACAGCATGGTGGGTTTTCTCAAGCCTATGTTTCCAGTTTGTAATAACCATTTTATTCTCCAGTTTATGCTCAGACCCTCCTGCTTTGGTGATGTCTACAGCTTTATTAAGTATCATGTCTCTTCCACCCTCCAGGTCATTACGAAAACACTGATTAATATCAGATGTAGGGCAGAACCATTCAAGATATCCTTCCATTCTGATGATGACCTACTAATAACTATTCCCCAGCTACAGATTAGTGGA